GAATCTGCGCCCTCATTAGGAACAACTGAAGTTCTCTCTCTATTCAGTGGCTTGTCTCATTAGTTTTTATGACAAGATAATATCATAAATCACTATCAAATATAAATTCAGTGTTTAGTCGGAGCCTGGTTAAAAATGGGTTGCTCAAAGTTTTGTTATAAAATCCTCAATTGTGTCAACAACTAAACGGCAAGGGATACGAATGAACTACGTACGAATTCACTTGACTCTTTCTACCAAAGATGACACAGCTACTCAAAACTCCAAGCATTTAAATTCGCTTCTGCTCGTAGTAAAAAATACCTGTAGATTTATATGCCTCGGTTCAATTTCTTCAGATAACAAATTATAATTAAAAAGTACTAAATGGAAATACCCGATAGACTTAGTTACTGTAAAAACTTCCCTAGAGCTAACTAAACTAATTTATGTTTCTCATGCAATACTCTGTATGATTTATGAAAACAAATGCATTACCAAAGATACACAATATATTGTGTAACATTTCAGTGTGTAACACATCGATTTCAAAAGTTGAATGAAAATAAATTTTGATATCAAGTGGCTAAACGAGTCAGTCAAGATATAGAAAATTGATTAGTAAGCGGTTCTCGGTTTTTCGGGCTAAAAATATAAATCCTTTTAAATATTTGTACTTGGAATTGAATTTTTTGATAGTACGGTATTCATTGCCAGATTACCCACCATGTCCTTCAGTTCAATGTAAAATTGAAATTCAATCAAAATAAGGAATATTCCGTGAAGCCTAAGGAAATCTTCATTGACTGATATTGGTTTTCATTATAAAGAATGTCATAGTTTTATTAAATACTTTTAAAAAATGTGATCTATAGCATTTAAATTTAATGAACATAAGCTTCGGAGAACAACGTTTGCAAAAGTAATGGTCATGTGTGAGTGTATCCGATCAAATTGGTATGTTTTCGATAAACTCACCGACTGATTATCTCAAAATTGTTCGGAATGTAATTGCAACTGCATGTTGTTCTGCAATGTCAGTTACTTTGACAGTAGATGGAATTTTGCTATCTCAAACTCTCTCTGATATGTTAAAATCTTCACATGTGATGAGGTTTCACATAGAACAAGCAGAAACTGGATTTCTGTATTCAGGATTATGATTTCTACGTTCCTACAGAATAGCAGTCTAAACCATGAAATAAAATGAATTAATGTAGTACTTCATATGTATTTTGTCTTTGAAAGAGGTGGTTAAGCAACTGTTAGAAAGAGACCCAAATACAAAATGTGAAATTTTTATAGTTATTCTTTAGCCAACATATGTGCGATTCCTTATAGAAGAAGCACCTGTTTACTTTATATTGGACTAAACGAATATCAAGCAAATGATTATAATAACCATCCGAAGATAATATTATAACGAGTAAGAAATGGTCATGACACGAAGTTACCTAAAGGTACTGAAGATCTGCATGTTAAGAAGGTTAAAAAAGGCCAAACACTTGTAGTCACAAAATGGTACTTCTAAATCTATTAATTGAATGTCTCAGTTTCACAGCTATACCTCCAGAAACTAATGAGATAACAACTAGTGCGATTCCTAATAACAGGTCTATTTGTAGCCTGATATGTTCAACAGTGTAATCGATAGAATAAAGTAAGTTTAGAAGCACGAATCATGACCGATAACCAATGGAAGAAGTGTGTTAAGATCAGATAAGCAACATCGTGATTCAGATAAACTGTTTAGCAGTCAATAGTAAAGTGAAAAATTGCAGATTTTTTAAAATGTAGAAATATTAACGACGATTATTTACAAACCAAGTTTCTCTCAACCATCTCTATAACATTTATGTTATTGCACTTTCATGTGGTTGTTATGTTCGTTATCCTTAACTCGATGACCGAGGACTAATGGATTAAGTAAGAACTCGGATACAAATGTTCCTGAATGTCCACTTGAGTGGTTGAATTGATTGTAATATGCAGTAGCATTAAACAAAATCAAAGTACGATAAGATCGAATGGACACAACTGGACTGAAATATTGTTATTACTGGTCTAACACTAAAATTACACCTCTTTGTAATTGAACTTGATTTGTATCAACACTGGTACTAGAATATTCATCAGTCGTATTATGATGAGACAAATCCAGGGTTGCAGTAAGTCGATGTAATCCTCATTGTACTAAAATGTAGCCAGAATGTCAATTAGTTAGCGTGTCCCAAATAATTGTAAGTTTATTTAGCGATGAAATATGATCGGCAGATAAATGAGAAATAACAGCTACACAGTAATCCATTGCTTTACACTTGATCTCCAGGTAATGTCAGTTTGTTTTGAAAACTTACTTCGAACTTGGTGACTTGTTTACCACTGGGTAAATAATAGTGGTTAGTGTTCGCATATAAAGATTATTTCTGACTTTTGAAAACGACAACAGTTTGAAAACGTCTGTTAACTTTCGTGTGCAAATTAGTGGAATGAATATTTTCATCATTTGTACACTAAATCGAGACATTTCAACATGATATCCAACAATGATATTAATTTGCTGAAAATTAACAATATTTAGTTACTTTTATTATTTTAAATCACTCACATTATTACTTCACGAAACTGTTTTTTCTATTTTTATAAAATGTTCATCAGATTGTAGCGACTCACATTCATCACGAGAACACGACTGGTTTAATAAAAACAATTATTATTATAACCAAGTGTACCAGTGTTTGTTTTAATGTGCTTTTGTTTGACTGTGCTAATGACAGCTATTTTGTGCTTCCATTCTTATTCTTACACTTTGATTGTGACTTCGCGCGAATTCGGTTACGTTCCGTAACAAAGTTTGTATCCTGGCACGATCTCGGTATCCTTTCGATGCCACGAGATCGCCAGCGAATATATCTCTATTTGGTCCATTAACTGTCTTCTGATATTTGGCTTCTCGGCGATTTTATGGATTTATTTGGTTACGTTCAACCTTCGCCTTCTGATTTACTTGGCACGTGTTTCTTGGTAGCGGTGTTCATAGTCAATCTCGACTCGACGCCACCCTACAAGATATTAATTACATAAACTTTCTCATTCACAACATATCTAAGGTTTACAGTGTTTTTCTACTGAGAAAGCTTATATCTGTAGTTTCAAAATTCTCATTTTCCAATGATGTGATTATGAATGCATCTTATCGGAGTATATAGGTCCGTAATGATGGTCAAGAAAATATTATGAAAAATCAGTCGATGAAAAATGTACTACTTCAATTAATCAGAATATTACAGCTGTTCTGTACATGCACATGTGTAACATGTGTGTATTCACAACTGGAAAAAATTATGCTTTGTTTCACGCTTTTCATTTTACGATGAATTACGATAAATTACTAGCAAAAAATGACCCAGTTAACCTCAAAACTATGGTCTTCTAGTTCACCGGTGAACAATTATGGTTATTTTGATACCCATGTAAATGTGGTTTATAGACGAAAGAAATAAACGAGAGGTCATGATATAATCGATTTCAGCAGACATGCGCACTACATGAAATGGGAAAACTGGTAGAAATTACCTTAAAAAAATTCATAAAATAATCATATGCAAAGCGGTAATGATAATGATGACAATCATAGTTAAAAACAGTATGATAAAAGCTAACTACTTTGATGGTTTAACTGATAAAGAGTTAAACGTCCTACTTAATAGTGTTAAAATAAGACTACTTATTATAATAGTCGTAAATGAGAAATGAAAATTCGACGATGATTAGATAAATGTTGAATAGATGGTGGATGTCTGTAAAGGTAATAGGTCAAACCGAAAACTTCATTTTTTCAAAAATATTTTTCGAAAGTATTAGGAAAAAGGATGGGAGTGAACTTGTAGTGAAGGAGAACACAGGTGAGGACAACCGAATTATATTTAGCACAAAATTACAGAGTTACTTGGTAAAATAGAAAAACCATACTATAATACCTAATTTGCAAAACGTTCAATAATTGTATTGGACTTCATTGTTCTTGCATTTCTATACTGATTGCTTTATAATCCCGTCCTTCCTTTCTTGATCTTCTCAATCTTCTGCTGCCAGACATTACATTCCTGACTCACTTTATATACTACTTATGTCAATATAAGTAGCACGCACCACAAACTGACTAACATGGCTTTTTTGACCATCTTTACCAAATCCCTGATGGTTTTAGAAGTCTGTAATGTGTAAATAATCCAAATTACTTGGGGCTCTTCATTGAAATAGACGATACACTTACGTTGTCTATGTCTTTGAAATGTTATTTGTATCCACTTACCACTTGTGAATTTACAATAATAGTGAAAGAATGTGAGTTTGACACTTCATTCGAAGGTACTACTCCTCTCCAAAATATCAAGAAAGTGATAAAATTAAGTCCTTAAACTGTTTGTACTCTTAATATTGATGCTCGTATTTTCCTACGAGTACATGAAGAAACGGTTTGCTTTGCTGTTTTTAACTATTGAAAGAATTGTGACTGGGATTTATGACAAACGAACTTTTTAAGAACTCAAGTAATTTAAAGCAATTAGTCCCTTTTATAAATTTCGATAGGGCAACTCAGTTTTCTAATTGCTCTATCGAAACTCAAGTAATGTCTGCAGAATGAAGCCTAATTCAAAGAACTTGGGTTATCGCGAAATTAACTGTCATTCATAAAACATTAGTTAACGATTAACGCTGAATGTTGCAACCATAGTTAACCTTTTAATTAGAGTTCAACTTAGATTTCACAAACAATTCGATGTAAGAAAGTAAAATTGGATACGTTTAACACAAAATAATCAAATATCAACCACCCGACCTTATGTTGTCAAACGAGAAGTTTATATTGACCATATCTCACAACAAATTTACATGTGATACTCTATATTTACAAGACGTACGTACAAAGATCGTATCAAGATTGAAGCGAGGTCAATCAATTTCTCGCAATGAACAAAAGCAAAATTTTACGGCTACTATAAATACATATATATTCTTCAATTTGTATCCATTTTCATAGAAATCTCTTCGTGTACAGACTTTGATGACTGTGTATGCACCAAATCATCTGTGACTGAAGATAGCGAATCATCATCTACAAAAATTGATAATTAAATTAGGTGGCAGTTTATTTTAAATAAGACCTACCCTCGACAATTTTTTGTAAGCCCTTCAGGGCAACCAAAAACAAGTGGAATTGAGTTTTTCTAAGCTGAATTTTTCGGTCGTACTCCTCATTTAAATTCTCCAGTCGTTCTAAAGTAGCTTTTAATTTTTTATACTTCCTGTACACAAACAAAGAAAATCCCTTTTTAACAATATAGTACATTCAAAATACAAAAAACCATTTTGAAATAACTGACAAATACACTCATCGATAGTTTTACTGACAGTTTGTATACGCACAAAAAGCTAAGCGTATTCACCAACATAGTGAACTATTATTACCAGACCAATGTTTAAAAAAATACAAAGATATTTACTAATAACAATCTACCCAATGCTCAGTTTATTTGGAATTCAGAAAGATATTTACATGTCTGCCGTACAACATATTTGATATCCTAGACACGTTAAAAGTATGGGAAGTGGTCATTTATTTTAACAGCAAAAAAATTACTTCCATCCTGTAGAGTTCAACGGACAGTTATAGACGAATAACGACTTTTGTTTCGATTATTATTTATTTCCATAACAAAAATTAAAATGTACTTCATTTACCAAGTACATATCATTCAGTCGGTAATTCATCTACAAAGTAGGACCAGGCACATATATGCATCGATCGAAATTGCTATGCCTCATTAGCACAACGGGATGAACACCAAATTCATAGAAGTAGTTACTTCAATGGCAGTAATATATACATACATATAAAGGTTGAATAAAAGGATATGATACGGAGAAAAAATTAGTTGATAAAACAGGATCAAGTAATTTTAATCTCACGGTTTAAGGGAAGAAAAAGTGTATACAACTACACCATTGTGATTGATTCTGAGCCATGTCACACAGTCTCCAACCATTGGTTACGATAGTCGCGTGGACCCCAGCCAAGTAGTCTGCATCTACCAACATGGCTCAGACCAGAAGTCAGTAACTTTATGGACTGATACTACATTTTGATTTGGCCGCCCGTAACTATTCCATCAGTCTCCAACACTAGTCAGCATTGCCCGCCGTCGTAGTTGGTGGTTGGGCATGCGTAATACGTGGCCCAACCATCTCAGTCGATGAAGATTCACAATCCCATCAACTAATTTAACATCATTCCCTAATACCCTGCGCCTAGCCTAACTATTACTTACCCGGTGATCCATCAGGTGCTGGCAATATTTTTAAGACGTCTGTCATTGAATACTAGTGACTTAGGAATATATTCTACCCTTAATAACCACCATTTCGTAACCATAAAGTAGGACAGAACGAAATACTGCATAGTATACTCGTCCTTCAATTGACAGACGGATATCTCGACTTCGACATAGGTAACGTAAGTTGGTAAAAGCCAAACGAGCTTCCTGGATCCATGCAGAGATTTCTTCAGACACCGACCCATTACGACTGACCAGACTTCCAAGATAATTGAAGTTGTCAACGCGTTCGACTACTTCACTCCCTATCCTTAGTTCAGGTGTTGACGCAGGCCAGTCCAGAAGCAACAATTTACATGTAGGGTGGGGGAAACGCACTCCAAATATTCCGGCATTGCTTCCCAGTACTACTAAGAGACTGAATTTTATTAGCGTCTTTACCAAACAGGACTCGGCTTTGAAATACATTTGCATTTGATAGCTAGCGATAATATACTGCTGTCCAAACTGGACAGGGTGGAACACGGTCTAACTGTCGCATAATGGATGAAAACCAAATGTGCTAATCACAAAGCCACCGACCCCTTAATTATCCATTGCTGCACGCTCCAATATCAGACATTTGTAGCCACATTTGTTCTTATGAGGCTTATTGGGTGAATAAATTCACAAATCAGTCAGTCAGTAACAACGTAGAACTTCGTACGTACGTACATCAGTTCGAGTTGCCATACCATATTAGCACAGAGATGCAGTTGTCGTAGTGGTAGAGGTAATAAGAGTATAAGCAGTAATCGGGAAGATTAGGGTTTGGAGATGTTATTTAAAGAGTATAATACAGTGAAATAAATTTGGAAAGAGGAAAAAAGGGACATGAAGAACTCAGAAGATTAGAATTTGGGAGAACACAAAGAGTGAATGCACCTGCACTCACCACTGCAAACGATTTTGAGCCATGTCATTCAGGGTCTCTAACCATCGGTTGCTATCATCTCGCGGTCCCCAACCAGGTAGTCTACACCTACCAACATGACTCAGTTCACTTGTCAGTGACTTCATGGATTTGTGCCATGTTTTGGTTTGGCCGCCCCTAGCTTTCTTCCAACCTACTCCTATACCACTGAACATAGCACGTCGAGGCAGTCGGTCGTTGGGCATACGTAACACGTGTCCCAGCCATCTCAACTGATGAAGTTTCACTACTTCATCAATTGATTTGCCATCCTTACCTAGTACCTGTTTCCTAACAACTGTGTTAATTACTTATTCACAAATCACTCGTCGGTGACGCCCATTTTATGTAAGTAACCGCCTAATAGTTTTCCGGAAAATTATCTAAAATCTCTCAATAGAACAATTCGATGACAAATCACCGTATTCTACAACCGACCACTATATTAACTTGGAAAATGGTCAATAATATGAACACAGATGAACAGGATGAAACTCTTTGTGCTAAGAAAGGTTTTAAAAGGAAGGCGCCTTTTAACTCCAATAATCGATGAGTTAGAATCTAAGGTAATTTAGATTATAAAATAAAGGAGCACTACGATCATGATGTTGACAACGAAAATTGCAATAAGAAGTTTTCACCTGCTGTATTGACACTGGGGCGTAAGTCGATGAATAGTTCTTAATATAAAGCTACTGCAAAATATAGAAACTTACTCAAGTGTCTCATCTCTCTCTGGATGATCACAAAGAACTTTGGCAAGACTGTCATACTCTGTTGAAATAAGCTAACTACGCACCAAATTACCTCGTCTATTTTTCCTGACGGTTTTTGCGGACCTCAGATCTTCTTTACATTGCTGAATGCGATTTTTTGCACTTTCAATGGCCGTTTCTATGAGGATAATTTTCGTAGTTGCAACATACCAATCTCCTTATATAAATCCTCATACTGTTTTTGCTGTTCGTAGTTCATAGCTATTACTAATGACGACTGTTCCATGGCGTTTTCACACTGGTAAACACTAGCTATAAGCGCTTGATAGGCTTCGTAGCTGACCCAAATAAAGATTTCGGAAATCATTTACCCGTCTTCACCAACATCATCAGAAGCTACCCATCGAAGATAATTTTTCAGTAATAGAGTAATTCTGCGATCATCATTTCCACTTTCGCCTTCGATTAAAAGTCTTCTCTTTATGATTTCGTCTATACAAGTTGTAAACCATATAAAAATTATTGTACAACCAAACCATCTGTTACGGTGGACATCTGAAAACACTGAAAATCTTTATAGACTAAGTCGAATTCACGTCTAGTATACGGACCAAAATTGTAGCCTTGATGATCTATATGGACATAAGAAAAAAGGTTGCACCAATAAGACTTAAAAATACCGAAACCAAGATGAAAATATGATCATAATCAGTTGCAAAGCACTGAACTGAAAATATGTTGCAGGAGAACGCAATACCTGAAATTGTGAAGGGTTTTTATCAAATATCAGTTAACATAGAGCAGAGACCGAATATATATTTTATCATGTCGAAGAAGAAACTTCTCACCAAGGTAGATCAAACCCAAATGCCAGAGTAAATAGTTAATGTAAAGGGAAAACTCTGAACATAAGACACCTAGAACAAAAGGAACAAACAGCAAAAATGGTCGGTCGAATCTAATTGTTATCTTGCCATTAGGACAGACCTTATTGCACCCCCAAATGACGTCAAGTAGTTAGTTTGATAATTCGAGCAGCATATAAACTACCTAACGTATTAATTAACGAAAAATATCAATTTGAAGGCTAAAACCAACAATCCGCAAAAATATTCTGATTTATTACGTTCTGACCAAAAAGGTAAGGATACGTACAGTAGAAAGAGCTTCCATGTTATTATTTCAGCCAGATTTTTATTATTTTAGATGCTACTCGTATGTAGGACGCCACCAGAATACTCTGACCTATAAAAAAATCTGAACGGCACAAAAAAAGACGCCCAAATTTAAAAAGTCAGCTTTGAACACATCTTGGTCATCCTCTTACTTCATACTTACTAAAACAGTGATGTGCTCAAAGCGGTTGCGAAAGCAATGTTTTATTGACGGTTCGGTATGAAGCTTCGAAATTTAACAGACTAGGAGCAAGAAAATGAACAGAATCTAGATTAGCACAGAAACCCAACATAAGAGCTTTGCTTTCAATACTTCAGATAGTGTCTAAAAAATCTGGTCTTTCATTCCTGTCAGTCAGCTACAACGTAGGACCAGGCACATATGTGCATCGGTCCAGGTTGCCATACCTCATTAGCACAGCAAGATGAACAGCGGATTCATAGGAGTGGTTAGGTCAAAGGTTGCAATAAGGATATAGTATAGGAAGAAAGGATTAGTTCGTAGACAGAAAGAATGAAGTGATTTTAGTCTCTTAGTTTAAGGGAAGACAGGGAGTGTATACACCGACGCCATTGTGATCGATTCTGAGCCATGTCACCAAGAGTCTCCAACCATTGGTTACGATCGTCACGCGGACCCCAAGCAAGTAGTCTGCATCTACCAACATGGCTCAGACTAGGAGTTAGTGACTTCAGGCACTGATGCCACGTTTTGGTTTGGCCGCCCCTAACTTTCTTCCAACCATCCCCTACCCCGGTTAGCATTGCACGTCGTGGTAATCGGTGTTCAGGCATACGTAATACGTGGCCCAACCATCTCAGTCGATGAAGATTCATAACCTCATCAACTGATTTACCATCATTCCCTAATACTCTGCGTCTAACCTCACTATTACTTACCCGGTGATCCCAGCAGATGCCAGCAATATTTCTAAGGCATCTGTGGTCAAATACTAGTAGCTTACGGGTGTCTTCTACTCTTAATGGCCATGTTTCGCTGCCGTAAATTGAAACAGAACGAACTGCCGCGCAGTATACTCGTCCTTTTATTGATAGACGGATATCTCGCCTTCGCCAAAGGTGACGTAAGTTGGCAAAAGCCAAACGAGCTTTTCGAATCCGTGCTGAGATTTCGTCAGACACCAACCCATTAGGGCTGATCAGACTTCCAAGATAAGTGAAGTTGTCAACGCGTTCAACTACTTCACTCCCTATCCTTAGTTCAGGTGTTGACGGAGACCAGTCCTGAAGCAACAACTTGCATTTAGAGGGAGAGAAGCGCATCCCAAACATTCTGGCATTGTTGCTTAGTGCTACCAGAAGACTCTGTATTTTGTTAGCGTCTTCACTAAACAGGACTATGTCATCTGCGTATTCTAAGTCGATAAGTGGACCTCCTGGAAGGAGATCAATACCCGAGAATTCAGTCGACGAGAGTGTTATTTCCATCAATAGGTCTATGATGAAGTTAAACAAAAATGGAGAAAGTGGACAGCCTTGACGGACACCACTTGAGGTTGCAAAAGTAGATGACAGTTCGCCATAAGCCCTGACTCGACTAGTAGTGTTCGAGTAAAGAGCCTTCACAAGGTTTATGTACTTCTGAGGTACGCCTTTAAATGACAGACACTGCCACAGAGTCTCGCGGTCTACCGAGTCAAATGCTGCTTTTAAGTCAAGAAATACTACCATCGTCGGACGCCGATAGGTATGCCTGTGTTCTAGAACCTGACGAATGGTGAATATGTGGTCGATGCAGCCACGACCAGGTCTAAAGCCAGCTTGGTTCTCTCGTGTTTGTAGTTCACGAGTCTTAGTTAGGCGTTTGATAATTATCGAGGCCAGTATTTTAGATACTATGTTTGTTAAACTAATCCCTCTGTGGTTGTCACAGGATGATTTTGACCCTTTCTTATATATTGGGACGATAAGTGATTGTGACCAGTCAGATGGGATAAAGTCTAACTCCCAGATCTTAGCTAAAATATTAGTCAACTTAATCGCTAAAATTGGACCACCATCCTTAAAGACCTCTGGAGCCAATCCATCTGGACCAGCTGCCCTTCCTCGTTTCAGATTAACTATAGCCTTTTGAACTTCAGCAAGAGTCGGGGGACCTACTTCAATGTTCCATTCACACTGTCTGGGAATGGAGGGTAGTTGTAGAGTAGCTGAAGGCCAGCTGAACTGTTCCCTGAAGTGTTCCGCCCATCGTTCTAAACGCCTGGACTTGGAGCAGATGAGTGTATCGTCTTTTTCCGATATAATCTCACTTACACTTGACTTATTAATTCCAGTTTCTTTTATTAGTCTGTAAAGCTGTCTTGTGTTCCCTATAGTCGCCGCCTTTTCCATCTCTTTTGCTTCCTCAAGGTCCTACCATGTTAGACAGGTCGGTTGAAGAGCGGTAAGACTAAAAGCAACAAACCCAAGGTCCGAAGGCGAAGTCGTACTGCTGACTGTACAGAGGTGTGACAGCAGTAAGGTGTTTCCTTCAGACAACCAGCATGACAGCGATGCTGCCTTCCCACAAGGAGGGGTGGGGTTAGAAAAGGTCGACCCTAAAAATGCACACCTCGCCTTATCCCACGGATATCCGTCTCCGGCGGTAAGGTCTCAATAAGTACGGAGCTAACACAAAAATTACCCATAACAAGGTCGTGTGTGAATGACCTCAAGCAGTTGTCCCTTGGGCACTGCGGTCACGCTCTCAGGTCACTAAGACCACTTTTAATCCAAATTCCTTTTCAGGTACCTCCAGAAGAACCCTTCCACGGTGTGGGCAACCGGGAAGTGAAAACCGCCCTCATACCTCTAACAGCACTCAAGACCACTGTATTCATAATCAACCTTCCTTTCATTCCTGTGGAGCGACAGTGTACTATTCACTAACGGCATATACATATAAACTGGACTGTTTGAGGGTATACGGCATATCAAACAATTATGCCTTAGATTTTACTTGCACTAATATAATCAAACCAAGTTCGAAGATGAGTTATTGTATTAAAAGTAAATGGGTCTACGTACATTACTTGGTGGTAGTATATGGGCGATCCTTTGACGGTCACCCGGCTCACTCGAGGAAAGGATTCTAAGCATCTAAATCACCCGAGGCTTCTCCGAGTAACACTTAAGGATCCTACCGACGTAGAGGACGTCTTGCTAGCAAGTCACTTACTGAAATCAGATGGTAACGTAAGAATATTGCCCGACATACCGTACTCTGAGCGCAATATCATACGAAACGTCCCTAAAGAATCTCGCGAGAAGTTTTTCCGCGGAAGAAACATAATTGTCCAAGGTATACCGGAAAATGCAGACCCTACTCAATCAAATTCTGACATCAGGGAATGGAAATTCATCAAACAGTCCTTTAGGCTCAAACACATACTGACTCAGCATGTGACGAGACTAGCCAAGAAGGACGGTGATCTTAGACCCCGTCTAATGAAGATAACCTTCCCATCTTCCCACATGGCGGCTGCAGTTCTGGAAGCATTTCGTGCTAATAGACGTCGATTGCCACCTGGAATCCACATGCACCCGGATAGGCCATACGAAGTTAGGACCAAGAACAAAGGCAAGTTGGAGCTGACCATTCCACTTGTGGACTGTCTAAACGATAAAAAAAAACGTGTAAAGGACAGGGCCTACCACCTCGGCAAACCTCATATAGGTGGGCTACCTGTCCATTCACATAAGGTTCATACAGAAAAACAGGACGAAGCTCACGCGTTCCAAATTGAAAGCATAAACTGCTTATATATGAACGCCGCGAGTCTACCAAACAAACTGGATGAACTACGTGAACTTAGCAACGCTAATAAGGCCCATCTGATAGGAATATCTGAAACCTGGATATCTTCTCAGTTCTCGGACCAAGAGTTAGCATTACCTGGGATGACTTTGTTCCGCAACGACAGAAAAACAGGAATTGGGGGCGGAGTAGCCATATACATAAGCTCTTGCTTGGAGGTGCACCAGGTTCACAACCTGGAGTTTAACAATCTTGAGGAATCCATATGGTGCTCTGTAAGATTGTCTAGTACTTCCAGGTGTCTAGTCGGAGTCATTTACAGGAAGCCAACTGCCGACACCGAGTACGATAGTCGTATGCTGGAAGGACTATCCCGCTCTATCCGTCTCGGTTTCACACACATCCTGATTCTAGGGGACTTTAATCTCCCTAGAGTCAACTTCGCGGAACACACGTACACTGGAGGCGACAACTCAACTGAAGCTCGGTTCTTCAACCTCATCGATAACTTGGGCTTATATGAAAATGTGAGGTCGGCAACTCGTTGGAGAAACAGTCAGACACCATCGCGCTTAGACTGTGTATTCACTAACGAAGAATTCCTAGTCGACAACCTCTCAATCCAGGCTCCTCTGGGAAAAAGTAATCATGCCGTCTTAGCCTTCAGTTTTGTCATCAAAACTAAGCTAAGATACCCCAACAATAATTTGCGTTGGAATTTTAAACGGCTGAATGTGCCAGCTCTACATGACTATCTACAACAGGTGGTTTGGGATGTTCACCCTCAACTCGACGTGGACGGGCATTGGGACTTCTTACTGCACACGCTCTTATGTGCTACAGACCATTCAGTTCCTCAAACGGTTCCCAAAAGCTGCAAGCCACCTACAATAATCAAGAACCGTACCCTTCGCCTGCTAAGCCGCAAAAGGCACTGTTGGGCTGAATACAAACTAACTGACAACGACGGAGTATACAGGCAATATAAACGAATCAGGACATATGCACGAAGGCTATAAGAGAAGACAGGCTTCAGTACCAAACAAAGCTTATGGACAAATTCGCCTCTAACCCTAGAAGCCTATTCCGTTATGCAGCCTCTCTTCGTCAAGCCAAAACAGGAGTTTCTCAACTGCTAGGTCTTAACGGCCCGACCAACAATGATGGCGACGCCGCTGACCTTCTGGCGGCACATTACTCTCAAACATTTCAACCGGCTGACATCAACTTTATTGACGACAGTTTCATCTGCAATTCCACAGGACTTTCTGAAGTGGACCTAAGCGCTGACTTGGTGTTCCGGAAATTGCAGCACTTAAGACTTGACACTTCTCCTGGCCCGGATATGGTTCATCCTGCCATACTGAGGGAGGCAGCCTCAATCCTGGCAACGCCGCTTAGCGTGATGTTTTCACACTCGCTTAGCCGAGGAAAACTACCGGAAAATTGGAAGTTGGTTCACATCACACCAATTTTCAAAGGTGGTCGACGCAACGAACCTTCAAGTTATCGGCCGGTGGCTCTTCTGTCATTACCTTCAAAACTCATGGAGTCCCTGATATGCGACGGTTTAAATGACTATCTACTGTCCTTAAATTTCTTCTCACCCCAACAGCATGGTTTCAGGAAGGGTTACTCTTGTATAACCAACCTGCTGACTGCGGTGGACAGATGGACAAGCATCCTCCATCGCAAGGGAAAGGTTGATGTCATTTACCATGATTTCTCAAAAGCTTTTGATAAGGTTAACCACTTGTGTCTTATCAACAAGCTCAAACGACTAGGTATCAAACCACCTCTAGTCGACTGGCTTACTTCATACCTAAAAAATCGACACTTTAAGGTTAGGGTTAATTTCACTTTATCTCAGGCTATGGAATGTCCTAGTGGGGTCCCCCAGGGCTCAGTACTAGGGCCTCTTCTCTTCTTGATCTACATAAATGATCTTCCTCAACAGGTATCGTCAGACTTATTACTTTTTGCCGACGACGTGAAACTTTGGAGAGAGATACGCAACCAAGACGATATGCAGGCACTTCAGGAGGATCTGACGCGACTTCAAAGTTGGGCAGACGATAACGGACTTACCTTTAACACTTCAAAGTGTAAAGTAGTCCATCTGCGACATGTCGCAAACTACAGTTACAACTTAGGAAACTCCTCTCTAGTAGTATCCCAAGTCGAAAAAGATTTAGGAGTCCTGGTGCCCCATGACTTAAAGTCTTACGCTAACTGTGACAAAAATGCCTTCCGAGCAAACCTTGCACTGGTAACGTTGAAGCGCATTTTTGGCCAGTTTGACGGACGAACTTTCCATACAATCTTCAATAGTTTCATCCGTCCCCATTTAGAGTACGGAAACATAGTACTCCCCCCCTCACTCCAAAAGGACAAGGTCACTTTGGAGCGTATCCAACGGCGAGCCACGAAATCAGTTCGAGGACTCAAATCTAAGCCTTACGAAGAACCCCTCCGTTCACTAGACCTTTACCCACTAGAATATAGGAGTCTTAGAGGTGATTTATTAATGGCTTATAGTATTCTTAACACTTCTGGACATCCTCTTAAACACCTTAAGCTTAGTTCGAATAATAACCTAAGGGGTAACACCCAGAAACTGGAAACACAACATAGCAAGACGGAATGTAGACACAACTTCTACTCTTTAAGAGTTGTCAAAAGCTGGAATTCACTGCCGGCCGAGCTAGTCCAAGCGACTTCTCAGGAGTCCTTCAAGAGGCAACTTGACCTATTCTTAAGAACCAAGGACAGCATCACACTATGATTTACCAATTTCTTTTCCTCTTTTATTGTTAACATACCTAGGTTCCTGCCTGGAGGATTTGGTGATCCCCTGCTACTAGACACGGAAGCCTGTTAAGCGAAAGCTTCTTCTATTCCGTCCACAACCATTTGAACCATTTGAATACTTTGAAGTGGCTAAAAATCTACTTTACTTACTTGTAAAACTTGTGACAAAAAAAATTTAACAATAATAGTGGATGAACAGACTTAACAGGAATAATGAACATTTACACATGAATTGTTAGGATTCACATTATGTGTATATCTCGCACCGATACCTGATCGGCTCACCCACGTACTTTATTTCTGCTACCAAATTAACAACACGATGAACGATAAGTAGTTTGTAAATTGAAGAGTTTGTGAGTTACAGAAACTGAAAAAGCCAGTGCCTACCTTTGACGAAGTTGTGAATCTCAGGACTCTCTGACCTACAGTTAGTAACACTATCCAGTCAAGGTCAGTCTTCACTCATTCGCAATCCTCAATGTCAGGGATTGTTGGTCGGTTAACCTGTGCTAATTCTTGTATCTCGTTTTCCAGTCGAGATCAAGGTCCTCTTCCAAAGTATTCACTAGTAGGGCTGATAACACTAGCTCGGATAGGTTGGCTCCAAACATTTACCACGGTGAGAAAAACGAACTCTCACTAGCAGTTTATTTGGTCGCAGTTTTTGGATCCTCCTGTATGACATCATAGATGATCAGTTCCGAAGGGGACAGTAAAGTTAAGAAAATTGTAAAACCCAAATAATTACTTAAGGTACGGTATGCTATTATAACGTAACTTTATGTTCTACGATTATTTAATGACATACGCCTCGTGGGCTATGGACTGTTAAAAGGGAATCTCTAAACAACTCTGTCCTGGGCTGTCGTTTTGAGTTGTCCTCAAGTACAGTTTATGTGCTATTCTGTCGAAAACATCTCCGGATACTAATAGTGGTTCGATTCCTTTGCAGTCCTAACGCTGACTAAGATCTCCTTTCTTTAGTATTGTAGCGGTAAATAAATCCCCAAAATAAATAGCACTAAGTTTTCGACATTGGATGCTGACCATATGTTTTAGTGGACTCACCTAGCTGAAGGCGCTCGGTCAGGCATCCGCACCAGATCACGTGTGGTAACGCCGTGCTCAACATCAACCGCAATCGCTAGCCAGATTAGATCAGAGAATTCCGATATATTGGTCATCGCCAAATATACTCTTCCGATCTCCTCGACTCTGTCTTTTGATTTCTCTGGGCGGGAACGAAATATATTAGAAGGTGTTACTGGTAGAAGCGTTGTCAAACACTGAATACCTGTGACATAATCATTGGTGAAACCGACGTGATCTGGTACACCTAATTGCAACTGTGAGTCTGTTCCTTTTTGGGATTTTTATATATCATTGACTTATTTTTTCTTATTTTTTTTAACTTTTTTAAACATTGTGATTTTTTTTCGTGTTTTTTCCTGGATATATATATTTTCCCCTTGTTCATTATCGTACTTCATACTTCATCATGACTGAACAGACACCTAAAGTACTCAAGCTTAAGACTTTGTCCCCGCCTTCGTTTCAACTGATGCCTTTCTGGCCCGACAACATCGAAGCCTGGTTTTGCTACGCAGAAGCCGACTTCTCCGAGCACGGCGTGATCGACACACGTGCACAATTCCTCGCAGTAGTCAAGGCACTACCGCGCGAATTCAACAGGTACGTAACACCTAGTATGTTTACTAGTGATGTTTCCGATCCTTACGAAATCTTAAAACGCTCGATTCTTAAACGAGGAGACCTAACCGATCGACAAAGATTAGATCAACTCTTCAACAATATCGACCTGCAGCATGGTTCTGCGACAGACATGTTGCAACGGATGAGAGAGGTAATAGGCCCAAGAACTTTCGACGAAGGCCTATTCAAACAACTCTTCTTGTCAAAACTTCCCCAACAGGTGCAAGCAGTTCTGGTCTCGTTCCAGAACAATGCCTTAGACGAACTAGCTGCATCTGCCGACCGCATTCTAGAAATTACGAAATCTACTACCGAGGTATTTTCAGTCAAAGAAAAACCTCAAACGACTCAGAATGATATAAACGACTTATGTCACACACTCACGCGTTATCTTAGTCTTCGTACCGACCGTGAGAGATCGCGCACACCACGTAGAAGCATTTCTCGTAAGCGATCTGTCTCTAGACCACGAGAGACAGATAACCCCGACTGGTGCTGGTATCATAACCAGTATGGAAAGCTTTCCAGAAATTGCAGAAAACCCTGCAATTTTCCCAACACGAAACCGACTGATTCGAAAAGCAATTCGGGAAACTTCCAAGCCGGCACGCGTTAACGGCAACCGTAGCCGGCGAACAAAGCCGTCTGTTATTCGTCACAGATGTGACAACGAGAGTTCGCTACCTCGTCGACACTGGCGCAGAAGTTAGCGTTCTCCCAGCAAATCCTAACGACCGACTACACGAATCGACCCTAAACTTACAGGCGGCAAACGGAAAACCGATCGCTACGTATGGCAAAAGGTACGTTTACCTTAACGTGGGCTTACGCAAACCCATCCACTGGATTTTCCTTATTGCAGATGTTTCTATGCCAATCATTGGTATGGACCTTCTACAACACCACAATCTGATCATCGATACGCGCAAACGGAGGCTAGTAGACGGAAACACTAATTTGTCCGTTTGCGTAACTTCCTTTACTGGTTGTAGAGTATCCCCAGTCACAGTTAAACATATGATAGACCCACTCTATCAACCACTACTCGATAAGTACCCTGGGATACAACAAACTCAACCGAAACTACCGTGTGTAACCAGCAATGTTACACATCACATCACGACTACAGGACCACCTGTATTCTCTAAAGCACGACGACTAGCTCCTGAAAAGCTAAGGTTAGCGAAAAACGAATTCGATCACATGATGGACTTAGGAATCATACGACCGTCAAGTAGCCCATATGCATCTCCGTTGCACATGGTCCCTAAAAAGGACAGCAACGATTGGCGTCCAACTGGTGACTATCGGCGATTGAACGCGAAAACCATTCCCGATCGTTACCCGTTGCCTCACATTCACGATTTGACAGCTACCTTGAAAGGTACAACTGTCTTTTCGAAAATCGACTTGGTTAAAGCGTATAACCAAATCCCTATGGCTACTGACGACATACCGAAAACAGCTATCATAACTCCTTTCGGACTCTATGAATTTTTGCGAATGCCTTTCGGTCTAAGGAATGCTGCTCAAACATTCCAAAGATTCATAGACGACGTTTTTCGAGGTCTCAACTTCGTACACGCGTATGTTGACGACTGTCTAATCGCAAGTCCGGACAGAGAAACACATCTCAAGCATCTGGATCTTGTTTTCGAACGACTTCAAAAACATGGCATAACTGTAAACGTTCAGAAATGCCAATTCGGAACCGACTCGTTAGACTTCCTAGGACACACTATCGATGCTCAAGGCATTCGACCTCTTAGGACCAAAGTGGCGGCCATTCTGGATTACCCAGAACCGACCACCGTCAAGCAATTACGCACGTTTAACGGCCTGGTAAGTTTCTATAGACGTTTCATACCGAAATGCGCATTACTTATGAAACCTCTGACCGACCAACTTCGTGGAAATGCGAAATCCATTAATTTGGACGACACCGCACGAAAAGCATTCTCCACAGTTAAGGAACTGATTGCTAAAGCAACGATGCTCGCACATCAGGACACCGAAGCACCCATTAGTATCGCAGTAGACGCATCCGACTCGGCAATCGGAGGAGTCTTACAACAATGGGTTAACAACTCCTGGCAACCCTTGGCATTTTTCTCTAGAAGGTTGCTAGACACCGAATCGAGGTACAGCACATTCGGTAGGGAACTCCTAGCTATGTATTGTGCTGTACGGCATTTCCAACACTACATCGAAGGCCGTGAATTCACTCTTTTCACGGACCATAAACCGCTCACTTTCTCGTTAAGCTCTCCTTCTGACAAGTACTCTCCACGTGAGTCTCGACAACTGGACTACATTTCGCAGTTTACTTCAGATATTCAACACATCTCTGGAGCAAACAATGTAGTTGCAGACGCTTTATCTCGTATAACTTCCTTGAACAGTTTCCAAGGAATCGACCTTCTGAAACTCGCCGAGCTTCAAAAAGAAGACACTGATCTTCAGCACGAGTTATCGTCCACAACACTTAAACTACGCATCAAACAGATGGGAACAGGTAAGGAAACCTTACTTTGTGACACATCTACAGGTAGGGATCGCCCAATCGTGCCGAAACATTATCGACGCAATGACTTCAACACATTGCACAAACTTTCGCATCCAGGTGTTCGTGCAACCATCAAGCTTATTGCAGAAAGGTTTTGCTGGCCTGGAATGAATAAAGACGTGAGGGAGTGGGCACGCTCCTGTGTAAGCTGCCAAAAATCTAAGGTTATCAGACACAATAAATGTCCCTTAGGCTCGTTTAAAACTCCCGATGCTCGTTTCGACCATGTTCATCTGGATTTGGTAGGACCTTTACCAGATTCAAATGGATACTCTTATCTCTTAACCTGCGTAGACCGTTTCACTCGATGGCCAGAAGCAGTACCTATCAAGGACATCACTGCTGAAACAGTGGCCCGCACCTTCGTCGAACGATGGGTAGCAAACTTCGGCTGCCCTTCAACCATCACTACAGACCGCGGACGTCAGTTTGAATCCGATCTTTTCCGTCGTCTGACCACACTTCTAGGAATCACTCGCTTCCGAACGACCGCCTACCATCCACAAGCAAACGGGTTGGTAGAACGTTTTCACCGACAACTGAAAGCTTCGCTATCAGCTGCAAACGTTTCACAGTGGACCGACGCTCTTCCACTCGTCTTACTAGGTATCCGCAATGCAGTGAAAGCTGACATTGGATACACTGCGGCTCAACTCGTTTATGGAACGACACTTCGACTTCCAGGAGAATTCGTGGATCCTTCATCCTCTTCAATGAACATGGATCTAACCTCCTACACGAACAGGCTTACAAACGCAATGCGTTCAGTTAAACCTGCTTCCACTCGACCTCAATCAACTGATGTTTTCGTTCAACCTGACTTACGATATAGTACACACGTTTTCGTTCGTCGAGACTCGCATCGACGACCCTTCGAATCAGCATACGAAGGACCCTTCAAAGTTCTTCAACGTGAATCTAAGTACTATATAGTCGATAAGAACGGAACCAACGATAGCATCAGTATCGATCGCTTAAAAGCAGCGTATTTAGAAGGAAATCCTATCTACGTGGATTTTCCTTCGGTACAATCGAACGACACGACTCCGACACTTATAATACCTCATCCGACAACCAACACACACGATGATACTTCGACAGTATCCGAAAATAAACTTAAAACGACGCGTTCTGGAAGAAGGGTGAGATTTCCAGAACATTTAAACGACTATTGCACGTAAGGCACTTCTCGACATTTTATATTATTTTTAAAAAAAAAAACAATTTTAATATGCTTATATATTTTTATTTCTATTTAAAAAAAAAACAAAAAAAACAATTTTTTTCAACGCTATTACGTGTTCATGAGTTTATTTTCCATTTTTTTTCCGCCGACATTGTGCTTTTACGCACATACGAGTGTATTTTCGACATGCACTTACATTTTTTTTCTTTTCCAGGACGGCTGGAAAAGAACGATGACGTTTATGAGGATCCGAAATTTTCCATGTACATTTTCTTTTTTTACTATGTTGTACCTCCGTCCCATATAGTAAGGAAAGACGACCAGACGCTGCTAAATTTAGTAAGCTATCAGAAGAGTGTTTACCAACGACAAACTCGTTGGGTTTAAACTTCTGGCTGGCCACGTCTTAGGGTCGTCACTGCCCCACTAGGGGGGGAGTGATCTGTAGCGGTAAATAAATCCCCAAAATAAATAGCACTAAGTTTTCGACATTGGATGCTGACCATATGTTTTAGTGGACTCACCTAGCTGAAGGCGCTCGGTCAGGCATCCGCACCAGATCACGTGTGGTAACGCCGTGCTCAACATCAACCGCAATCGCTAGCCAGATTAGATCAGAGAATTCCGAT